TATTGAAGTGGTAGATATGAAGGATGCAATTCATCAATCCGCTAAGGATAACCAGACAACTCATGCACTATAACATCTATCAAAATTCACATCAATATCTCCTACAATAAGTGCTGCAACCTCAGGTGCTGATGGCAAATTGTAGTTTCGTCCATCTTGATTTCTGGAGCTGATTAACCGTAACTTCAAATCTGAATGCTTGCATTCATTAATCATCAATGATGCTAACCGATATTGTTTAACATACAGATTAACATCATCAAGCACCTTCTTCAGTTTCTCTACTATTTGAGGATCAACTAACATTTGATTCATATGCTTACTGCATGCAAACAAAAATAGTTGTCAATTCTGTCAAAATATATAATAAAATACAATATCATCTCATATATATAAATAACAAATATTTCTCTTAATCATATTATACCTTATAGCAGAAATTCGATTAGCCACTTCATTATCTGTATCATATATATACAATTGTGAATATACAGGTCTAGATCCTTCAGGGGGCAATAAAGTACCAATCTTATGGTAATTTATTCCAGACAGCACAAAAGTATATGGACCGCCACCGCGATTCTTCGAGTGATCAATCTTACCTCCCATTGAAGTAAATGAGAACATATTGTTGTATGACCTAATGTTTGCATAGAAATTCTTAGATTCATTAGTGTTCTTGTCAAAGAATAAGCTGCATAGCAACTCTGGAGGAGCAATCATGACAGGAAACTGAACTTTTCCCTTGAGGCAACACATTGAAAAATTAGGTGTCCTAGTCAATTTGTAATTCCCAATCTTCTCATTAAACCACATCAGTGCACCACATGATTCACATGCATATGCTGGGTCACCCTCATCGTCGTACTCAGGTCCTACCTCTCCTACACCTTCTGACAGCTTAAAAACATCCTTCATACTACCTAACTCATTCCCTATGTAATCAATGCAAATTATCACTCACAACAGCCTATTCAAAAATTAAATAATTAATAAATATCCCTAATCATAAATTTACCTCCAGATATATCAGAATTAATGTCACTGACTTCGCCATCAGAGTTGCAGTTTGGACAAAATGAGAAGTAAACATCCTTGTATCGTAATTCAGCATATACTAACAAAAACCGATAGTAATCCTCAGTCACAAAAATGAAATAAATAATTCATTTACCGTTTAAAAAATATTTAGCCATCCCACATGTAGTTCATTCTATACTAACACACAGGGTTTAGTTAATTAGAAAATAATTAATTATTAGGTACAATATTTTATCAAAAAATCTAATTATAAATGTTGCAAAATAGTAAAAACAATATAAGGCTGAAATTATCAAATCATGCGTAAAACAAACTAAATTCTGTTAACTTAGTTATTTTGTCAAAAACAAAAAACATAACAAAAAACTATACTATTCTACTACTAATATATAACGTATATAACATAATAACATGAATATAAGACCCAATAGATTTCAAGCATTACGACCTAATATAGACTTGGAATCAACCCTTCTGCAATTATTTCATTATTCTCCGACATCCTATGATAATATTAATAGCATTGGTTCCCCGGATTGAAAAAAAAGCCATCAAGCCCAATATAAGATTCTAATATTTAGTGGCCTACTATTTAAAAAAATTATCAAATACTTAAGCCATGTGAAGAAACACAGAATACATATAATTTATTATTTTTTCACGGTCGTCATGTGATATGACCATGACAAGTGGAAAATATAATTTCAAGTTATATTTTACTGCGTTTTATCCACTTACAACTGTCCCCATAATATTTTCAAATTCAACCATTAATTTTTCATCGTGGAAAAAGTAAACCACACAACAAAAAAAGAAATTAACTTAATACATAAGTATTCAAAAACAAAATTTGAATAACAAATAAGACCTTCTAAATAATAATATGAAAACATAATTAACACTTGCTAGTTGCTACATGCATTTCCATCAGCACATATATATAATTGACTGAGCTATTAATATTCCTTCGCACTGCCAAATCATTTCCATTAACACCTATATAAAACAATTAAGATTCATGCCTGTGAAAAAAATAGATTACAAAGAGCACAAAAAGCCGTTCCTTGCATTATCACATATTTACGTCAAAATAAATTGCTAATATAAAAATTCAACATTACTATCCTAACAAACAAAAAGCCCAAACTATTGATAATTGATGATTGGGAAAAAACAAACTAATATTACCATAACCCAAAAAACACCACTGAATAATAACTCCCCTTCTAACATATCAAATCCAAGACTCATAAATAAATAAAATACATAACAAACCTGATGGCAAGCTTGGTGATCAATCTTCATTCTCAACCGGTGGTGTAACTTCTGTATCAGCAAATTCTATCTGGTGTACCTTCTCCATATTATCTCTTGAATGAAAGAATGAACTTCTTCTACTCCATCTAGTACAACCTTACAGGTAGAAAATGAATCAATACAACAGTTTTGTGACAGCACACTAAAAAAAAACCATAAATTCAGAAACATAAACACGCACATTTAATAAAATGATTTAAACATCTAAACAGTAATAATCTTCTAACCACTTGATTTGATATCAAGAGACAAATGTGGCTTATCATTAACGGAATTTATTGTGACCTGTTCATTACTCGTACCAATAACATTGCTGTGTGAACTTGAAGATGAATTATTACTTTCCATGCGACCACTGTGATAAGTATATGACTTACTTTGACCAACCACATGAAACTTTTCATCCGTAGGGGTTTTACCTATGACCATCCATGAAAATAAACATCAGACTATATGAAAAATTAAATAATCTGTAAACTATTTTACATTAAAGCATTTATAAACTGACCATTGTGTGAGACTCCTTCGAATCTTGTATCCAGGTCATACGCAGTGTTACTAATATCCTGTAAAGCAATTGCCCTTCCTCTTCGCTTGAATCCAGTTGAATTAACATTGGTAAATATAGATATGCCCCGAGTAGTTCTCTTCTTAACACGATTTCTAGAATTTATGTTCTCCTCTACCTCCATATAGTCATTACTTAGACCTTCTAAATCATTTTTGGTTGCTACAATAACAAATAAACCATAAAAACTTTAAGACCAGACAAAGAAAAACCACATGAAAAACTATTAAACATTTATCTATACTCCGACTCTGAGGACATTGATCCATTAAATCCAACGGACTCAGCATCCTCCCTAGTGTATTTGACCCCACCACTCTTTTAGCACCTAGACCAGAGATAAGAAATCATTAAGGTTCCATGAACACTGAAAATTTCTACCTATTGCATTATTAGGATATAACACATACTTATCCCTGAAGGATTCGCATTAAAAACATGAGCTAGTGAACTTAAATGTGTAGATGAATCTGAAAAATTTTGCATGCCTTCTGCATCAGAATTGATAGGATTTAAAGCCATCACTCAGCTCTTCACTTCAATGATCTAAATACTAAAATAGAACTACCCCATACATATATAGCAAGATCTGTATGCACATGAATTTTACACCTAAAATGCCGTAATGATCTATCTATGAGATACAGAATTTTTCATCCCGTGCCTGGCATCTCTAAGTAGGATTAACCATATCTTTTACACAGATATGCAACAATATGGCTACATTGAAAATCCTACATCATTTTAACCTTGCTGTTGTCATGAAAGTACTAACAACCTTACACTTGTCAGAAGAAAGTTATTAGCACGCAAAAGATTCACATCGCACCTATGATTCATAATTCAATGATAACGGCAAATATCTTATAGTTAAACAGATCCTCTGGTTTTCTAGAAACTGTACAACTATCTATCAAACCACTTATGAAAAAATTTAACAACTTATCGGCTATTGAATGATTTCATCTCTAATATTAAACAGCTAACTTAGAAGATCCTTCATGAACTGAGAAGCAAAATTCTATTTTCGAGCACCATTCACACATGCATATCATCGAATAGGGCTTACTTTTACTTGCAAACTCACTTTCAAATGATTGTCATACGAATAATGCATTCTTCCTTAAACTCTATTGATTTAACTCCATAAAGCTCAATCCAATATGATGACTTCCTTTTTTATCTCTTCACCTTCTCCTCTTTGAATAAAAATTGCTGACTAATATTATCAACTTATGCTCATGTGAGCATGGTAATACTTCTCTTTTAGTTAGAGAGATTTATATTTTATCTTATATTTAAAGAAAATTATTTTTTTTTCCGTTGGTAGAGAATAATTATTATCCTTGGAAAAAAATCATCTTCCCCGTGAGAAATTGGTTTTCTCCAAGTTCTACGAAGATGATAGAGTCCTGGGCTTAGGCATGATTCTTATGGGTTTTGTGAGTAATCTAATGAAGATGAAAATGATAAAATTATGTAATTCATTCCTTTAAGGTGCTTAAACTTTAAACACTCCTTTATACATCTACCACCTATAAGGAGGTCATGGTGAGTTTTATAGCAACTTATGACTGTTTAATCATGTAATGGATCAGGTGCTGATTAATTTGTTCCACCCTATTGATGTAAAAACTCTTAAACATACACTTCCAAACTTGGATATATCATTAATTGTTTGCCATCAGAAATAACCTCTCATGTTAAACGATTGGTATTATCCATTTCAAAGTCAGTCCTTAAGACAATTAATAACAACATAATACTCATAACATTACTGAAATACATAACTGAAATCCAAATACATCGCACACAACGCTTGTAGTCTTGACATAGTTGCATAATGCTGCTAAGACATTTTGCCACAGAAGGATTGCCACTTAAGGCCAAAACACTCACATAGATCACACTTTAACATAAAACCTACCACACTAGACTAACAACAACAATATTCTTATGAGTACACAACATAACATATTTGATCCTAAGACTTAGAACAACAAACACTACAGGCATCACTTGGAGTCATCAATTCTTCTCTTGCTTGATGGACTTTAAAGTCTTCCCCCCAAACTTAACTGGTGAAACATTTGATGAGCTCAAGGCCTTTATTCCCCCCCCCCACGCTCTTCTTGGCAACACTCTTCCTCTTCCCCTTATTATACATGGCCATTGGTAAAATCTCAGAAACAGGAACACCATCAAAATCAACATCTTCTTCAACCTTATCTTCAATCACACACGGTACAGACTTAGGCACAAAACTACCCTCGGCCAAATCCTCATCCACAACTACATAGTCAAATCCCTAAAAAATTGTTAATAGAATTTGTTAAAAATAAAGAAGTGCTAAGAATTAGTAGGAATTAATAAGAATGACATTAAATAATTTAGGGTATGAAACTTTTATACCTCATCATTCGCCTCTTCATTTACATCGCTAGCCTTTGAAACATAAATTAAAAAACATCAAACGTTAATTTTAAAAAACTACACATATACCTAATAGGAATATTAAACAACATAGATCGTTACAATAAGAGACCACCTTACCCTGTTAAATTCGTCCATCAGATCAGCAACTTCAGTATATGTAGCAACAAAAATACTCGAATGGGGAAAATCTACATTATATTGGTTTAGCTTCATTTTAAGCAACAATGTTTTCCCTACAAGATGATCTAATTCACCAGGGACATCAACATACCCATCCTCATCCTAAATAAAAAATAAGTGGCCCAAATGAGCTACTGCTTTTACAAACAATAAAAAGAAACAATTTACATCTAGATCAAAATTACCTTCGACAGACCCTTTTCTAGCTCAACAGCAGTTTTGCCAATATATTGAACAGCCAACTTGTCAAAAAATACAATAGTAACCTTTCCAGATTCATCCATAACTGTGTAATGGACTCTCAGCCTGCACGCAGTCATCAACACACAAAACTTTAGATGCCAATATATTAGAATAATGCTCAATATGACTTACATATCCCATAAACATTATCTCTCCACTTTACCAAGGTATATACAAGATTAATTACCATAAAAATATAAACATAGTTTCGATAGACTTACTTAGACTCATAAGTAGTTGGCTTGTTCTTGCATGACTTGCTATTGCAAGGCTGCTTGACATCATCATCTTTAGGCTTACTGCCACATCTAGAACACCCTATATATTTCCATCCATGCCCTGTATCCACTTTAATGACCTTGCACTTGATCCAGAAATAATCACCCTACAAATATAAAATTCAGAATTATTTATCAAACATGTACAACACTTTATCAAACGCAAGACATCACATCAAAATGCACTAACCATAGCTTGTTTTGCTATATCAACAATCGAGATCAGGGAATGTTTCCCAATAAGAGAGCTTTCAGATGCCTTTGATGCTTGAGAAGGTAGACTTGCAGATATTGTGCTAATCATGGGGGAAGGTAACGACTTTGCACTGCTATGGAACATAATTATCATATCCCATATACAAATAACATAATAATAGACTGACAATAAGGCCACGACAAGATTCATACCTTTCAATAAAATGCTTCACTTCCGGATAATTCATGTTAAGTAGCACCTTAGATGCATGGAATGAACTACACACCTCTGGCTTGCTTGAGTTGCAAAAAAGAAAATTAAGTCATTATTTCTCTAATCGATTTGACTAAATCATTATGTTTCTTCTCACCTTTCTCATTAAAACCAACTCTGGCTAGCTGAATAATCATCACCACCGGAGCATCCAACTTAGTGAAGTCAATCATGCACACATCTGTTGCACATTCATCATACAAGACGCAAGACACAATGTTTTCCCTGAAAAATTAAAGTCAATGATTAATCATGCCACCTATGTGTATTATAACAACAAAGCTAAATTGTAATTTTAATAAAATCAAATAAACTACACCTACAGGTTATCAGACAAGGTTAATCGCATCCTGTTCTTTATTTCAAAATTATTACGGAATTCTTCCAGTAGGCCAATTGAAGTTACAAATCCAATCACATCTACATGTTAGGGAAAAAATTTTAATGCAATTGCTTCAAACATAAAGAATAAAATGATATGCTCCCTATGCACTATCAGTCAGAATCAGAAATCATATTATAATTATACATTCTATACGCACCAATAAGATAGTCAACCCTCTTCTTATCAATGACTTTTATGATTTCGGATATGGGGAAGAAATTATATGAGTACTCAGGTATATTAGCTTCCCTTTCCTTCACATATGTGTGTCTGCCCAATGTAATCTTAAATGGATGATTAGTTGCCCTGAATTCCTTAGTGTTACCTGTCACAGAAAAATTAGTAAAGAAATAGATCCTTCCTTCTAAAGCTTTGTCCTCATATAGCTTGAAAGCACTCTTATTAGTAATGGATGCTTGGATCCTCGTTCCCTGTAAAATTTAGCCCCCACATATTATACTGAATAATCTCAAATAAATCAATATAACATTGTCAACAATTTAAAACTCCCTACTAATGGCACAGATATATCTAAATAAATATACAACAGCACCTACCTCTTCATCAATGAGAAGCATTGAAATACAATAAAGATCAGTAGGAGAATCTTTTTCATAGGCATTCCATCTCCTAATAACACGGGCAACAATCTTCCACTTATCTATTGAATCATCAATCTGCCTAATCATTGATATCTTTGAAGACGACATGGTTATTGATGTTTAAACACACCAAAAGTCTAGATAGATCTCAACCAAACAGAATAATTTAACTCATACGCAGAATCCTTCAAACACTTGGCATCAATTTATAGACCTTAATGCTTTCACACGATCGTTGACTTAGTAGGAAAAAATACAACTGGCAGACTGACATGACTAAAGCTTCATGAATACTGTATTGTCATCATGGCAGTAGATAAGTACTGCAAACGTGAATCTTTTTCTTTATGAATTTTATTAAATTACTTTTCCCGTGCTTCTGTCCTGCTAAAATCTTAGTACATGGAACACATTTGAGCACGTTATGAACCTATGGCATAAAAAATGCATAAATAAATTTGAATTTGTTTAATATCTTCTTCTAAAACAAAGCTTCACTATATTTTGTATTTTGCCATGACAGTGACATCATTGCATCCCACACCTTCCAAGGGTTCACCATATCTGAATGTACTCATTATTTACTTTTGAAAAGATATCTTCAACTTCAACATGTAGATTTCACTCAAAAGATCTCCAGTATATCTTAACAGGACGAAAACAACAATGATAGCTATTCCAATACCAATCTAAAAATTCTAATTATATTCTGACCATTTGCACCAAAACTCTTAACCCAATAAATTGAAAAGACTAAACATATTCCAGATCCTTCACACTCAACCCCTCTCTATAAGAGGCTACACATCAATTATGAAAAGAAACATGATGATGCGGAAAAAAAAAAAAACTTCTTTCGAATCCTAATGAGTAATCATTAAGGTGACTACACCTTGAACAAAAACACTACCACAAGAAACCATGTGAGTTTGAACAAAATATCGCTTTCAGTAATAGTTAAAGATGAATAACATCATGCTCGACATCTTCTAATAACATTACGTTCAAACTCCATATGAACCCATTTTTTTATTTTGTGTTTTCTAGGAGTATTAGAAAGATTAAATTAGCCCATAACCAGATACTACTATCAATACATTTATTGAAAAACATAATAGTATATTTTTCAAGCCATTGAGATCTGTAAGATATTGATTACAATAGTAAATTCCCTTCATCTAGTAATTAATTCGGCCAAAAGTTAAAAGATAACTCAACAAACTTGATACCATTTATCAATCAGCTATAATACCTAATCAAGACCAAGATAAATCTATATACACAAACATCAACCCGCTGCGAACTCGGTGTAAAATCATGATATAAATTAGTCCTTAAATTCAATAAAATGTGGTTTATTGATTTTTAGTTGTTATATATCAAGCAAAAATATTTATATTACCATGTCAAAAAATATTTATATTATAATATTGTTATATTTTCAAAGATAAAAATCATTACTCTTATTTAAATAACATGGCATCGTTTGAACATTTAATCGTCAAATGAGAAGGGTTAACATTTGGGTTTCATATTTCTCTTTGAATGACAGTTTTTTAAGAACCCAATAATAAAAGAAATTAATGATAGGAAATTTTTTAAAACAAAACTTTTTTTTGGAAGATTAAAATTATTAAATTTTTGCAAAAATAGTATTATTTTACAGGATAATAATATTAAAAAATATGGATAATATACCGTTTTTAATAATATACCGTTTCTCCGCCAATACTTATTATTACATACTAATGAGCCACGCTTGAAGTTGTGCAAGGAAAATAACTCATCTTCTCAACTACTATGCCTATTACTTATTCACAATAAGTATAAAGAAGAACTTCAATCATTTTTTAAAGCACCATAAATATAACTTCATATATTACAAGTTAAGTGCATTACATCCATATCATTTCCCCCACAAAGAAGAAAATACATCGACACATGTCTCCAAAATACACACCTACATGGTACATCAAGAACTAACAATAACCACACAATACTGCCATTAAAGGCCAAAATATCATAACACACAGCATGACAGACTACGGGTGTGTTTGGATTAGCGGTGGGAGAAGTAACTTTTTTTCAATCTGACTTTTACAAAAGTCAGATTGGGTAAAAGTCAGATAGGATAATGTGATTTATGTTTGGATTGGATTTTGTAAAAAAGTCAGTTTGAGAAATGTAAACTTGTTTGGATGACTAATAAAAAAGTTAGTTTATATGTAAAATGAACAAAAAGGATATGAATTTTATTAAGTAATACTACTTCCAGTCCTTAGTATAACTGTATAAGAGCTAGTTTTGATTTTAAATTTGATTCTAAATATAAAACAATAACTATTTATTATAAATAACTAATTTAACTAACTTTTCTAGTCTCTCCAAATTAATTAACTAGCTCTTATATTAAGAATTGGAGGTAGTACATATTTACTATTAAATGTATATAATGTGACAATTGTAAAAAAAAAATTCAAAATAAAATCATTTAAAATAAAAAATTAATTTATTATTGAAAGAAATTAAAAAATGCTACCTTTCCACGGCACTGTTACTTTCCACCGGTAAAAGCAGGATTGAAGAGCTTCTTCCATAAGTCCATTTGAGATCTAAAAGTCAGATTATATAAACGCTGTGCCAAACACTACATTTTCTGAAAAAGCACCGTTTGCCATTTGAATCGCACGTTTTGGTGTCCAAACGTGAATGCAAACAGGCCCGTAACATCATGCACACAGTGATTTGGACATGATTGAAGGGAGCCCACATGGATTCAATAAGGTCAGCTAATTAGAAACTTTCTTGATTGACCATCTTCATTGACATGCATGTGTTGTTAACACGTGTTATGTAAAGTTCATGAAGATACTTCATCCTCTGTTGGTGTCTCTTCTTCCCTCCCATTTTCCTCTTCCTATTATTTTTGACACGTGGTGCCCACTGCGCTACATGCATCTCTTCCAAATTAGAATTCTCCTTGTCCATTTGTCCTACCCTTTTTGGAGTTACTTGATCTAGTAACTTCCCACAACCGACACCTTCCTCATGAATAAAATTGTCAGTCACCTTCAACCACAAAGACAAACAAACATTAGATCTCAAATCTGCAATAGAAAATATCACACTAATAACAACCCAATACATATTCAAAATCTATTACCAAATCAGCTACTTGACAATATGCATACACATCCGTACTGCTATCCGCAAACAGCAAATTACGCTACTTAAGCTTTAGTTTCAGTAGCAACGTCTTGCCCACCAGCATATCCAGCTCTTCCGAAAAATCATATCCAACACCGTTCTGCTTGTAAATAATAACCATAACATACTTACAACCAGTGTCATGCCAAAACAACAAAAGAACACAAGCAATATGAAAAATTACATTGTTAAGCATCTGCTGCATCTCAACAACACTTTTTCCAAATATCTCGTACGCCATCTTGTGTAAAAAAAATAGTGGCCCTACCAGTAGTGTCTAGCATAGTGTAATGCACTTTCAGCCTATACACAATTATAAGCAATATTTATATCAACTCTGCTCTGCAGTTGGAAATAAATACATAACTGTCATGAGCGAAAAGATTCATAGTTACTTAAAAATCGACTGCTGGATACTCCTGACACACAAAATTCATGCATACAAACTGTTAGGATTATAGTTTTGATGATAACAAGTCAGAATATCAGGGTTAAGTATTTTGATCGATCAACTAATCGAACAATCAGTTATCGCTAAGATTTCAGATAAATGATCAAGTGTAAATCAGGTCTATAGTAGTCTTTTTGATCGAAGAACTATTCGATGAATAGTTTATCGATAAAGGGATCGATAATCGCTAGTGTAAAAAATCACATAAGAGTATGGAAATTATCGATAAGCTGATCGATAATATCAGGTAAGCAATCGAGTTACTGATAAGAACCGAGTGCATTTATCGATCAAGTTATCGATAAATCAGTCATCAATAACGACTTCGATAAAAGGTAACACTCTCTACTTGTTCTGCACATTAGTTCAGTTACAAATTTATCGATCATATTTTCGATCATTTGTTTTATCGATTACGTACTCGAACTTTATGCTCTAACTCTCCTGAATGCAGGAGATCAAATTCACCGATAGATCGATATTTTATATTGATCACAAAATTTCGATTACATGATCGATAATCAATGTTCTTTTTAACTCTTACTCAGTTTTGCTACAGCTAAATTATCGATAATTATCGATAATTTTAACTTGTTTGCTTAATAAGTTTTTCACATAACGTGTTCGATAAAGAGTCTGAGAATTGACATATTAGCATTAAGTTATGATGAACTAATTTTCGATCAAGTTATCGATCACTGGATTTTCGATAAAATGATCGATCATTCATTTCCCCGAACTTCATGTTTTCACAAAACGTGATCGATAATCATTTTCCTTACCTTACAGGATCAAACTTCTTTCTTCACTATTATCGATCACTTGTTCGAATAGTTAATGATCGATCAGCTGTTCGATCATTTCAAATAGCATGTGTCTTCCTTTGATTATTTACATAACCATGTTTTATCGATAATATTATCTATCATATTTTATCGATAAGATGTTCGATCATCAATGACTGAAGCTTCATTTTAATAACATCTAAATTATCGATAATCTTTTCGGTCAATTATGTGATCGATCACTGTTCGATCATGCAATGATTTCCTCTTTCTATGAAAATTCTTGGAGCCGATGATCAACACTTGATCGATAACTTTAGTGATCTATTTCGAAAAGTCTTCATTCTGTTTATCGATAACTTGATCTATCTCAAGTAATCGATCATCTTTTCGATCAAACCAAACCGGAATGACACTCTGTTTCTTGTTACTGATAAATGATCTCGTCACAAATCTTGAATGATAAATTAGCCTCCTTCTGTATTCAAGGTTAAAGCACTCACCAAAATTCTCACTTGTTCTAAGTTTGAAATATGCAGATTAATGAAAACGAGTGCAACGGCTCTTCAATGGGATTACGTAGACTGCGACCTACAGTGTCAGAAACTCAGACGCATTAATGGCGGAGCTGTTAAAACCAGTGAAACACGCAAACGAAGTCACAA